GTGTGTGTGTGTGTGTGTGTGTGTGTGTGTGTGTACAACATCTTTATCCATTAATCAGTTAATGGAAGTTTGGGCTCTTTCCATAATTTGTCTATTGTTGAAAGCATTGTTATGAACATTGGGGTACATGTGCCCCTGTGAATCAGCACTCCTGTATCCTTTGGATGAATTCCTAGTAGTGCTATTGTTGGGTTGTAAGGTAGTTCTATTTTTAATTTTTTGAGGAACCTTCGCACTGTTTTCCAGAGCAGCTGCACCAGGTTGCATTGCCACCAACAGTGCAAGACGGTTCCCGTTTCTCCACATCCTCGCCAGCATCTGTTGTTTCCTGAGTTGTTAATTTTAGTCACTCTGACCAGTGTGAGGGGGTATCTCAATGTGGTTTTGATTTGTAGTTCCCCAATGATGAGTGATATTGAGCATCTGGTGAAACTGGCCTTCTTATGGGCAAAGAAAGAAAAATCACAAATCACCAATTTAAAAGTTTTGTTTTCTTGTGTTTGCTTTCTTTGTTGTTGGATACTATGCATCCTTTTAAGCAACTTTACATTGTTTCTAGAATTAAGTTAGGTAAGACATCATTCGAGGATGTTCAAAACATTTTCACTAGATAATCATACCATTCTTCAATGTGGTTCAAATATTTAAAATAAATTAACTATAACTAAGAACAAATAAAACCTAATATTAATAGTGTTCCAAGACTCTAGAAGAGGGGGGTGGTGGGTTCAGCAGACATGGAGATGGGTGGGTTCTGGGTGGCTCAATGGAATGTTAGATAGATGAGCCTTATATTGGGAAACCAGTAAATAAATGTCAAAATAAACATTAAAGTGCATATATGCACAGCACTTGTGTGAGTAGAAATATGGATATGGAAATAATTTTTCAAAGTAGATATATGGAGGCTGTCTGGAATAAACTCTTGCTAAGTATGAGAAAATTCAATGTTCATGGACGTTGTGAGGCATTGATGAATCACTCTGTGACACATAAGACCAGTGCTTATGAGTTCTGTGGAGCCCTGGAGAGCCATACGTTCATCTAGCACTAAGGCAAGGATATGTTACATATGTGGCTTGATGTTGTTTATAAGAAGAATCTTTATGGAGTTTGGCAATGGCACTAGATTAGGATTTAGGAGAACTGGATCATAGTGTCTTCTAACTCCAACTTTGTCAACTCACTTCACATTGAGGCCTAAAGAGGCCTCAAGGATTTCATTTGTAAAATAAGAGAGTGGGACTAGATGACCCCAAGAGCCCATCTAAAGTACCAACATACAATGAATTTGGAATCATGTTTTTCAGAGGTTTAGGTTAGTTTTGTTGGCCAATACACATAATGAAATAAAATCATCTATCCTTAGTGCACGGATAGAAATATACCACAGGTCAAGTCAATAGTCATAACTTATATACAATATCATAATCTAACCCTCTGAAATGAGTGTTATTCGCGTCCTAACAATATTGGTGTTATCGTGGGGTATCATGATATAAAAACACATCTATGACTCTATCAACTTAAACTCCTAGATGCCTCTCACTGCCCATCCATGGATAGAATGTTTTTTGGTTTTTTTTTTCCTGCTAGTTATTACAATGCAGCGACTGGCATCTGTATGAAATATGTGTAGCTTGATCTCTTTTAACGAACGACAATAAAGCTAATGTAAATTGAGTTCTTCCTTTGTGCCAGATGCTGTGCTAAGTGCTTAGCTCCCCTTATTCCATTTAGTCCCATCAACAACCTTGTAAAGTAGGAATGATAAAGGCTAAGAGATGGAGGTAGCTTTAAACTTTGCTCAGCAAGAATTTGAAATCAGGTTGTCAAGCTCCGGCACCCAAGCATTTAGCCACTACACCGTGCTGCCAACTTAGTGCCAATTTCATTCTTAGTACAGGGGTCCCATCTGGAAGCCGCTCATTTGGAACAATGTGGCTTTCACAGCCTTCTTTAACACAAATCGCCCCACAAGATGATGACACGGTGTGATTCTGAGAAATAGAAACCAGGACAATTGGTCATTGCACATCTATGGGGGATTGTCAAAATTACTTTATGGCTAAGGGTAAATGCTTGAGCCAGTAAGATATCTAATTTGAACAAAGAATTCACGAAGGAGGTTGCTCCCCACCAGTCTCCAAAGGCACACCGTGGATATGCTCCCAAGGGTAGAGGAAGGAATAAGGTAGAAAGCCCTACAGGAAAAAAAGCTTACGATGAATGAGATAACATTTTGTATGAAAGGGCTCAGAATGGTACCTGGCACAGAGCAAGTGCTTTTTAAGTATTTATTAAATGAATGGATGAATAATTGCTGAAGTACCAGACAATGAAAAATTTGAGTTAAAAAAAAAAAAAAAAGACGACACATTGCCTACCTCCGGCAAAGTGAAATGTCTTACAAAAACTGTGGAAAAGAAACACATAAATTTAACACATTAAGTGAAAAATCAGAATAAAAATTATATCAGAATAAAAATTATAAACAACTAATCCTTGCATAAAAATGCTTGCATAAAAAAATATGTGTATATGTACAAGACCTGGAAGGAGATGTGACAAAATGAGAAGTTTGATTTATTGGAATAATAGGTCTATGGAGTTTTTTCCCCTCTATTTAAATGTTAATGTTCAAATGTACTTTGAACCAATCTCCATCGTAGCATTTACATTATTCTAATGCCATTTGTCGATTACTGATTTCTTTGCCCAACACCTGAGCTCCATGCTGGCAGAGGCATCATCGGAATCATCTTCAGATCCCCAGTGTTTGGTACAGAACCTGCCACTTAGATAGGGCTCATTCATCACGGTGGTTAATAACGGGTTCTGGAGTCAGACAAAGCTGGTTTCAAGTTCCGATCTGCTACTTAAAAGTAGTGTGACCTAAGACAAACTGCTTAACCGCTGTGAACCTCAGTTGACTCACGTAAGGTAGGGAAAATAATGGTACCTGTTTCATAGAATTGTTTTAGTGATTGATGAAATAATCCATCAAAATCCAATTTAAAACAGTTTAACACCTAACACAAAGAGAGTACCCAATAAATATTAAATACACTACCACTATTTTATTAGTACTATTTTAATTATAAGTTGAATTGAGCGGTGTTGTTAAAATAGACATCATTTTCGGGGGCGCCTGGGTGGCTCAGTCGGTTAAGCGGCCGACTTCGGCTCAGGTCATGATCTCGCGGTCCGTGAGTTCGAGCCCCACATCGGGCTCTGTGCTGACAGTTCGGAGCCCGGAGCCTGTTTCAGATTCTGTGTCTCCCTCTCTCTCTGACCCTCCCCTGTTCATGCTCTGTCTCTCCCTGTCTCAAAAATAAATAAAATGTTAAAAAAAAATAAAAAAAAATAGACATCATTTTCAAATGACATTAGCGGAATCAAAACTCACTTCATGGTTATAGAAGTGCCCATTAATAGAGGCCCTATGCTTCTGTCTGTCTTTTCTGTCCATCATTGGAGGCTTCATCCTTTTTCTCACCAGGGTTGCTTCACTCATGGTGCGATAGAGCAATGGGGATTCTGGCTCTTCATCTGCATAAGCCTTCAGAGTGCTACTGGGATAAGATAAATAATCTAGGAAGAATAAAGATTATAAGGCCATATCATTTAGCTGCCTACCTCTTTGGGTGAATTTGTATATGTATTTAATAAGTAAATATGCAGCTAAGCAGTGAACTATAATGCTTCAAACAGTGAGAAATAGTATTCCATTTAACCTTGGGATTTTAAAGAAGTTTCTATTGTAATTAGAGTACCAACCCATAGGCATGGGAGATTTCATTTTCTTCTAGCATTGGTGCTTTGCAACTAGGTTTTTGTGGTATCTCTGGTGCCAAGACACCATAGAATTCCCTTAGAATTTAGAATTAGAAATTAGAATTCCCTTGGGTTTAGATGAGTGTTTTCAAAGGGCTAACTGGAAGGACCCTAATATAAAAGATGCCAAGGGCCATCACACAAAAATAAGGGAATCCTGGAAGGAGCATCATGGTTGTTATTGAATATGAGTTGCTACAGAGACAGCAGAGAAGACTGACTTGAGAAACGTTTGGAAAAAATAACTCAACATTGGAAGTTGCTGGTACATTCATGAAGGTAATGTCGGCAGGGTACTATTTTCAGTCTGAAGTCAGCCTGGTAAGATGGCCACCCCAGAAACGTGAACTCTGCTCCCAACCCCAGTCATCAGCTCCTCCTTGTATCTCTACATATTATATGAAAACCAAATCTATGTGAGATATATGACATCATACCAGACACTTATCAGAGTCTCAGTAAATGACAGCTAGTAATAATACAACTATCACATCATCATTATGACTACTGATGTCACATGCCATAGGAGCTGCCATTTACCATTGGTTTGTCATGTTTGATATGAATTCATTTGATGTTCAAGTTGATTTCTCTTTTTCAAATAAATGCTTGAAACAACTGGAGTCAATTACAATATACAATGTAATGTACAATATACAATTACAATGTTGTTGACAATTGTCAACAACAATATACTGGAGTCAATTAAATATATTGACTCCAGTATACTGGAGTCAATTAAATATATTGACTCCAGTATATTTGCCTCTTTCTGGGAAGTGTTGTCACGCAAATATCCATTAACTAAGACATTCAGCTTCTAAAAAGATGTAGAATTTAATGTGAGGGGCTTGGTCTGATATAAAAAGCTGCTGAGTATAATAAATGATCCCAACTTTGGGAAAAATATTAAAGAATTTTATGTATACAAGTTTATTCAAACCATTAGCTTTCCCTAACCTAGTAAATCTAAGTGACTTGATGTAATTTTAAAAATCATCGTATTTTTATGTAGTAAAGTTCTTAAACATCACATGAGCACTGTAGTGACTTAAATTAGTATGATCCTAAGAGATATTTTTAACATAAGAGTTTTATTAAATAGTGGTGTGTAAACTGTTAAATTTCAGAGAAACGTTTAGGATTCATGATTTACATAAAAAATGTCTCTCCATTAATAAAAGTTTGATACTGACCTTCTTGGGAATCTGTTCCTTTAGATGCTGGAATCTGGGTTCTGTCCAGCTCACTAATACGGTAAAGATCATCAAATTCCCCCCAGCGTGTCATTCCCCTGAAAAGTAATAAATCTTGTAAATGGCATCAATTCTATTCATAATAAGCCTTATGATGATTTTCAGATTTAGAGTATTAATATGATACTGAGGGACTATGGTAGGCATATCCTAAATTATAACAATTTTATGATATTATTAAAATTATATTTATACCGGGATGGTCAGTGGGTATTTTAAATAATTCCTGTACTGATTTTGAGCAGATCTGATATAATAATTGAGTAAACCCTGAAACACAAGGTTATATAGATTCTCTAAAATGTGTGTATGCAAATGGAATTAGTGGAAACCAACATAATCCATCATTACACAGATACCTTACAATGCTCTTAGGAGAGTTTAGATATAAAACTGTTCATTCTGCCAACATGCTTTGAGTTCCTATTGCATTCAAAGCATTTTTGGGTAGAGTGGCTCTCAATAAGATGCGGTGCCTACCTTTAAGGCTCTTTACCACTAAGAATGCAATTTACAAAGGAGGAAAGTGTATGGGAAGCTTCTTTTCTAAAACATGATTTATATATAGGACACTAACAATTTTCAATGCATTCTAATAATTACAATACATAAAACTGGGCAGCTACTTATTTTTACCAGCTGGACCAACAGTCACTTTTACTTCATTTATCTGGTCTTAGCCACGTCACTTCTCTGTGTCCTTATCTATAAGATGGGGATGATAACAGTGTGAGGTTGCTGAGAAGATTAAGTGGGTTAATTTGTGTAAAATTCTTGAAATAGTGCCCAATACAGAGTAAGCACTCAGTATGTGTTCAAAGTTATCATTTTCATTGTCTTCGTCATCAGAGTCACCTGTATCCATTTCATGATGGGTGAAGAATCATTAGGGATCCAAGATATTCTTGGGTTTCTCTAGGTTAATGGATACTGTTATTGCTGGGATTGGTCTTATTCTTACTAAAAATCTCTTCCATAATGTCTGTTTTCCTTATGACCAAAGACTGTAAGTGGTGGCATATGCTCTATCCAAATGTGACATTTGTAACATTGCTTCTATCCGAATGTCACTGGTGGCAACAATAACAAAAAATGCTTATTCAGACTAGTGGTGGTGAATATGACAAACACGAGTATTTTCTCCTTGATCTTTGAATTCTTTTCATGTCTTTTTACAACTTTTATGTCATTTGAGTCTCATAATAGTCTTATAATGTAAATAAGGTAATCTTAACATATTTGTTAGTTAATTTTTCAGTAAGCTCTACTATCCAGAACATAGCCAGTTAAAACACATGTAAGAAAAGTCCAAGAACTACAGGTAATAATAACTAACCCAAGGGAAACCTCTTCAGGTCCTGACTCAGATTCAAGTTATTCTTACGGTAGATAAAATTGCTCATCTTCCCCAATCGCTAGGAAATTAATTATCAAGAGGAAGCAGATGCTATTATCACAGAAAGAGTGGTAGTCATGGGAAAAGCCCAATATCCATAAAAAGCAGAAACTAAAACGGCAAGGCAGCCTGATGCTATTTCATACGGGGGAAGATGAGAAAGCCCAAGAGTGCCTGGCCAGTGGTATTCTATAGATCCTTGGTAATCTTGGTAGACTGGACACTTGTCCTCACTTTCTTACAGTTTAGTGGCATCACACAAATACAGGGGACAAACATGGCTCCATATATGAGTGTCTGGCCCTTTCCCCTCTCTACCCATCTTAGCAGAAAACACCAATTTTGAGCTCTGGATTGTGTAATTTGAAGAGTCACCCATGTGCAACTGTGCACATGGCTACGCTTGAGGGCAGTTAACCCGGAGTCGTTCAAAGAAAACCAGGTGGAACTTTATGCAACATCAAATAGTTTAACTTGCTCAAGCGCAAGACTGTTAGCATTGCCCTGACTATGCTTCAGGATGTATACGTTGGTAAATTTGAACTGTGGGCAAGTTTTCAAATGAGTTGCAAAATACAAAAGGAGGTAGTAATTTGATAGACAAATGGGATGTGGTTATTTTTGTACCTGCGTTGGGAGAAAAAAAAAAAAACCTACACTATAAATGTTATTCAAATGTACACCTGTCCAGTTTCTGCTCTTTATGTCATTCTGTCATGATTTGTACAAAATGTGCGAAAGCTGATTTTAGAAAGATTAAAAACAGCAATGAAAACTAGTGCAAGTAAACATAACCTCAAGAAGGCTTGGTGGTTTTGTTTTGTTTTGTTTTAGGTTTTGAAAAAATTTCAAAACAAAATACTTGGACCAGATATGAGAGATCAAAGTACTTCCCACAGAATTGTTTCCATAAAGGATCATAAGGGGTCACAGTTCAAACAGACTGATTTATATTTAAGCTTCTACCACTCCCCTTAAGCTGACTCAGTGTGACTCATTTCTAAGTTAATTAAAACAAACTAGCAGGACAAACTGATGATTCTCTCAATGGGTGAACAGAAAGACAAGATCACAGCCCTTCCTGCAGCCGAGTACACAACTTCCACGCCCGTCCTTTATTCTACATACACCCACTGAAGATACCACATGAGTGACCATGTGAGACCAGAGGTAGAAGTTCTGCACACAGGGGCTCCTGGGTGGCTCAGACGATTGAGCATCTGACTCTTGGTTTTTGGCTCTGGTCTTGATCTCACCATTTATGAGTTCAAGCCCCGAGTCAGGCTCCGCACTCTGTGGAGCCTGCCTGGGACTCTCTCCCCTTCTCTCTCTCTCTCAAAATAAATAAGTAAAACTTAAAAAAAAAAAAAATTAAAAAGTTCTGCACACAGAAACCCAGTATGAGAAAGGAGAGTTGAGGAGGGTTACAGAGTGAGGGAATAGTTCCTTTTATTTTATTTTTTTAATGTTTATTTATTTTGAGAGAGAGCAACCACATGTGCACACATGGGAGGGGCAGAGAGAGAAAGAGAGAGAGAGAATCCCAGGCAGGCTCCACACTGTCAGTGCAGAGCCTGATGCAGGGCTCAATCTCACCATACTTGGGATCATACCTGAAGCCAAAATCAAGAGCTGGACACTTAAGCTACTAGGCCACCCAGGTGCCCCTAGTCCCTTTCTTTATATGATTTCATTCAAGGCTCAGAATTTAAATGAATGCTACCCTTAAGGATGGCAATCAGAGTGAAGGTGTCTAGGACCAGACTGAAACAAAGACAGGACCTTAGGTGGTTTTGCACCCCACTAGGGAACAGAGGCCAAGGAACAGCCACTCCAAATTATATGCACCTTCCCACTGAGTGTTCAGCTGCTTCCCACGGAGGATTCTTGGCTAATGAATCATGACAATCTAATCTTGCTTTTGAGTGTGAGAGGAGTAGGATCTCTTTCTGATAATTCTCAACCTCCAGAAAGATCTGATACACCACAAGTGTGCCCTTCACTTCATATGTTCTCCTGGTAAGTTTCATTACTGTGGTAAAGGGCAAGCAAAGTTTTCTAGGGAATACTTTCTCAACTTTAAACTAAGGGAAGTAATTCCTCTTTGGTTCACAGCAATGTGCTGATAAACAATGAAAACCACAGTTGGTGTCCATGGAAGGCACATCGTGAAAATATTAACTTTTAATCTGCCACAGTGTATGGACAGGCATCAATATCACTTTGTCTACCTGGTCTCTTGAAACTTTTCCCCACAGTGAGGATTTTTAGGAACAAGTGTTTTGAATTTTAATTTGAAAAAATTAAAAATATCTTGGGGGTAGCTATTTAAAAAAAAAAAGACAATGTGGTAATACGAGTACCTTACTGTATCTTCTTGACATCTTCCCTTAATGTGCCATACTTATTAAGTTTTCATGACTCAAATAATTAAATTGCATCAAAAGCAGCTGGCTGCTCAGAGAACTTTGTAATGAGTTTTTCGGCAATATGACTAATGATAGCTAATTTTGCCAAATTCATTTCTTGTGCAGTTATCTAAAAGCAGAGCCCAGGGGTAATTTCTCCTTTTAAAGGATGCTCCTAGTCACTTAGAATCATCAGCCCCATCGGTCACCTAAGGACCTGAAGGGGAGGGTTGCAGGGCTTCATTAGGCTGCCCAAGTCTGTGGTCCCCCTTCCGCTCTTCCACAAATGCTGGACCCTTCGCCCATGGGCAGCCCTTAGCCTGGATGGGAGACTAGTCAGAAGTGGTAGACAGAGGCAGTTTTCACAACAGAGCAGAGGTGATGTAGCTACCAGGATCATGGGGGCTTTATTCAATTTTGTATTTCGACTCTCTTCATTCCAGGCACACTGCTACGCACCCCAAATAACAGACGAATAAGGCATGCTCCGTACCCTGAAAAAGCTCACAGGCCAGAGCACGAGGTGGGTGCATAAAAACACAATTAACGGCGTGTTTTGAAAAACTGCCAGTGCACCTAGGAGAGACTGAAGGGTCAGAAAAAGGCTTTCTGGAGAATGTGTTACCTGACCAGAGTCTCCTAGGACTGAGAGAGGGGAGTCAGGCAAACGATGTTGAAATGCAAGTAGACTTTCCAGGAGTCAGGAAAGTAAGAGACTGCATGGCATGTGTAGGGAATTAGGAAATGTTCAGAACTGCTGGATCATGTTTGAGAACATTGGCAAGGTGCAAATCATAGCGGGGCGTCCAGAGAAAAAGTGGGGCTTCCCTCAAGGCGATCCTTGGTTTTCCTTGCTTATAGCCCAAGATCAGATTGAGGAAAAGGTCCTGGCAGCTCTCTTTCCATCCTCTCTTCCTAGAATCCCAGCCCATCCAGTTATAGATGGCAGGATGGGAGAGAAGTCTTGGTCCTCCCACAGACGCACAACAGGGGGAGGAGTCAGAAAGTTAAGGATTAAAAAGGAGGGAAAGTGGGGAGGAAGGAAGAAAAAAAGAAAAAAAATTACATGCACGAGTCCTTCTCAGAGTATTTATTTTTCTAAAAATTGCAAAGGATAATGAAAAAAATCAGCCCAACTTAATGTATTCAAGGTACAGTTGCATAAACCCACACAGAGAACTGTCTCACGTTGTTACTGAGCTCCAACTGCACTTTGTTGTGCCCTGTTGAACAAGATCAGGACAATCAGGTGGAGCATAATTAAATCTCCTTTCTAGAAAGAGGAAGAGCCCTCTGTTCCAAGGAAAAGAGAAATTTAAATTTTATCTCCCCTTTTGGTGACAAGGCCAGGCTAACGGGCTAATGAAATTTGTCTTTTCTAACGAAGGAATGCAATCTTCCAGGAGAGAAACAACACAGCAGAGAGGTAGACCTGAGGTCCAGCCCAGTCCTGCTACATGGTAATTGGACATCTTGCACAAATTACCTAAACCCTTAGAGCTCTGGGTTCTGAACACCTACTTCACAGAATTGCTGGGGATTAAATGAGATAGTGTTAGAAGCTTTAGAGCTCCCATCTTTAAGAGTGCACACAATGAATGTAAGTCAATATGAGGATGATCTTCTAAGGAGTTAAAATGTGAAAGATAGGGGTGCCTGGGTGGCTACGTCGGTTAAGCGTCTGACTTCAGCTTAGGTCATGATCTCGCTGTTTGTGAGTTTGAGTTCCTCGTGGGGCTCTGTGCTGACAGCTCAGAGCCTGGAGCCTGCTTCAGATTGTGTGCCTCCCTTTCTTTCTGCGCAACCTCCCCCCCACCACCACCCGTTTGTACTCTGTCTCTCTCTTTCTCTCTCTCTCAAAAATAAATAAACATTAAAAAAAAAAGTGAAAGATAGCTTACCTTTTGGGAAAGACATCTGGTGATTTCAACCTAGTAAAAGAAGGGATTTGTTTCTCATCTTGTATTTTTAGCTGTATAGGCCGTTTTACTCCCCAGAAAATGTCCAACATTCCTTCAACAATTAGTTTGCCATCTTCTGTCTGCAGAAGAAACCAATCATCTCAAACATTGTTTTTGTTATTTATAGAAGGTTAATCTTTTAACTGAAAATGGAGAGATCGAGTCTATAAGCCATTTTAATAGATAAAAAGAAATTCCCCGATAGGGTTGTTTGGCTTTTCAATTTATCCTCAAAATAATTCAATTTTGGAAACATTCTTTTATTTTTGAAAACAGCTCTAACCAGTAAAGTCATAATGGTAATGATATGCCCACCAGAGGGCAGAGCATGTTAAAATGCTTTCTGAACTCGAGGATTCTTCAATGAGGTAGAAGGTTAATTCTATTCAACGTAAAATTAAAGCAGAATTGAAAACTATACTAAACTAGAAATCAGAAGAATAGCTCTTCAGAGATTTAGTGGCTATTTGCTCATTTCTGAACAGGAAATTTTTAACTCACGAAATTATTATGCAGAATGAGTTAGAAATGTATGAAAAACAGTGTAAAATGTATAACAGAAATTACATATTTGAAAAAATCAATAGCATTTGACTAATTTTTAATTTGGAAATGTAACAAAAGAAGGAAATTCCATGCAAACACGGACTGTGAACACTTGCTTTTTCTGTGGGTGTAAATATTAATGCCAAAGCATAGTCGCATAGAATATATTTTCTAATCTATTTTTCGCTTGTATATGTAAAAGTCTTTCTGCTATTAAAATAATGTTATCATTACAGAAATGATAACATAAAAAATGGTTTCAAAAAATACAGAAACCAAGAAAAATCACATTCCAACCATCCAATAATTACTATAACATCCAATAACTACTGTTCTTATGAAAAATCAATTATCAGAAAATGTAAAGGACTTGTTATTTGAGAGTGTAATGAACACTCCAGACTCTGGAACTGGATAGACCTGTGTTTGAACCTGGGCTCTGTCACTTCCTCACTGGGTGACCTTAGACAAGATGCTGAACACAGTTAAGCCTGCTGCTTCTGAAGAATGGACATCATTATAGTCCCTAACTCATAGGACCTGATATTTAATAAGCGCTTCATAAATGTTGTTGCTTATTATTTCTTGGGCTGATAAACTAACTTCAGAGTTACTCCTGAAACAAAGTTATGCTCTTTCTCCCGCTTTTGAGTTCACATTTCAGATTACTGAGAGGTCGGGATACCCATCAGTTGTTTTGAACAACCAAACATAATTTAGTCTTTGAAATGGCAGCACATGATGCGGGTCCTACTTTTAGTTACCGATGTATAGCATCCCTTCTTTGTTTAATTATACTTCAACTGATCCCCTACATCAAAAACTCACAGAATAACTGCTCTTCTGAGATGATCGCATTCTTGCTTTCAAGAAGAAACACTCCAACTGTTATCAGATAACGTTAGGTTTTCTCATGTAAGGAGTATCAGAATATTTCTTTTTGAGACAGAGAGGAAGAGTTCACATGCGCCCACGAGCAGGGGAGGGGCAGAGGGAAAGAGAGAATCTTAAGCAGGCTCCATGCACAGCGCCCAGCCCGATGTGGGGCTTGATCTCACAACTGTGAGATCATGACCTGAACTAAAATCAAGAGTCAGATGCTCAACCAACTGAGCCACCCAGGTGTCCCAGGAATACAAGAATATTTTTTTTAATTTCACAAAGCATCTCTTTATAGATGAACTAAATATGTCACCGAAGGCTTGTTTACACTAATTTAATCTCATTGTCTAAATCCTTAGGCTTCTTCTCTTCTAGATCTATACCCGTATCCTTGTCAGTCTCTAAGATCCTTATATGCCATCTCTAAACTAATAGCTTCCAACTTTATATTTCTAGCCAAACCTTCCCCCTAAACTCCAATTGTCTGACTGCCTTCCTGACATCAAACTTAAGATGCTCCTAATTAACTCTTGATCTTTCTCCCATGAATATTTTCCTCTCCAAGTCATTCTGTTCCCATCTGGGTAAATAGCAGCCTTATCCTTCCAGTTGCTCAGGCCAGGAATTTTAGAGTCACCTTTAATCTTTCTTTTGTACTCAACATCCGATGCAGTAGCAAATCTTATGAGCTCCACCTTGAAAATATATCCCTAACATGACTACTATACTCACTGTATCCACTACCATGGTTCTGGTCCATGCCATTTCATTGTTTGCCTGGATTACTGCAGGAGTTTTCTTTCTCATTCTTCTCTTGGCCTTTCATATGAAAGGCCCAAGCTTCCCCATAGCTAGAGAGATTCTTGTAAAGTGAATCCTTTCAGATAATGTCACTGTTCTGCCCAAAACTCCCCAGTGGCTTTCCATCTCATTCCAAGTACACGCTCTGGTCTTCACAATGATCTAAAGACCCAGATGCTCTGTTGCTTTCCTCTGCAGTTATCTCTCTAGCTGCATCGTCTACTAATTCCCCATTCCCACAAGCTTTCTGCTCCACTGGCTTCCCTGCTGTACTTCAACGACACTAGCTCAGCTCCGGCCCCTTGTTGGGGCTGCTGTCTCTGCCCGAATGTGCGTCCCAGAGGCTTCTGCAAGGTTTGTTTCTTCACATCTTTCACAGTCTCTGGTCAAACGCTCCTCTTCCCCTTCCCCACTTAGATCCCTGAGCTCTCGTCCCTGCTTTGCTGTTGTCCCTGGCCCTTATTACCATTTGATATACTACATATTTCGTTTCTTGTCGGTGTGCTCTAGTGTAAGAAGCATCGAGGCAGGATATTATGTCCCATTTCTTCATTGCTTTATCTGCAGCTTTTACAACAGTGTCTGGCACATGGTAGGCAATCAATATTTGCTTAATTAACCAGAGATTAAGAAAGCTATATGTCGTCCTCCATATTGCCCCCTTTAATGGTGTCTATTATTGAAATTCAGTCAGAATGCTTTGAGAATTCTGGACTCTCACTTTATTGACCAGTGAGTAAAGCTGGAAAGGTTAAGCAATCTGACAGTCTTACTGTGGACTTTACTTCACGTAATTAAAAAAAATTAAATGACTTTTGTATGGTAAATTGAACACTGATTTGCAGAATTGGGAAGAACATGCCTCACATTATACGTTCATAACATCAAAATTCGAACATTTTCCTCAAGGAAACAAACTTCTTCACATCGTGAACTTTGTAGAAACTTGAACTAAAATATAAATAGTCATTTTTTTAAAGTTTGGATTTTTTCTTAAATTATCTTCACAATGATATAGATTAGAGATCTAGGATATAGGATGATATTGAAATAATTAAAAATTAGGCCCATTTCTTTGTAAAGAGATTAGTTATTTCCTTTTTCTATTATGTATGGGAAGGTAACTGAAATATTCAATCAAACTAAATCATTTAACTTCACTAGTAAAGGCCAGAGTGGCTAGTAAGTTTCTCTGTGTTCAACTGCAATTTTAAGCCAAATCACAGTGGCCTAAACTCAATGTTGTACCATCAAATGTGAAGATTTTAATAGAAGGTACAAAATTCCAATGTTCCTTACGGCCAGGAAGATACTGTAATGATGTGAAGCGAGTCCCATTAGAATGCAAGGCTAAGTGGAGAGATCTGTGGAGAACGAAGCATTCAAAGAAGGAGAAGAAAAGGAAGAAAGGAAAAGTCTAAGGCCAGTTTGCACTCCTAAAAATACTTTCTAGATTCAGGACTTTTCTGAAGTGTTTCTTTCACATTTTAAAATTTGTTATTATACCATAGTACACAGTCATTGGAATCTGATTCATCTTAACAACCAAATCAAACTATGTTACAGCCTGTGTCATATTTATTCGAGCATTCCCCCATGGGTATGGACTGAAGATACTCTCTCCATTACAAATGATGTCACCACGGGATAACACCACCTTCTCTATCTGTTCTGGCACATTTGCAAGAAAGTATTATAATAGCTTTCTAGTGGAACTGCTGTTTAAAATCTATTCATACACTGTTTTAAAACTAGAAAGTAAACAGGTCATTAAAATGATTTTTAAATGCTTTTCCTGTCCCCAAAGCTGCTTAAAAGGTCACATGTCCCAGGACTGGGATTTGGTGATAGAGTCTAAATACGAAAGTCATGATCCAGTCAAAGATTCACCTGTTTTTCCAGACCACTTGTGCTGCTAGATTATAGACTCCAACCCATCCTGATTCCTTTATATAACCTCTATGGAATTTCTTTCTGTGAATTAAACCGTATTTTGCATTAGTTTCATAGGCTTACCTGTCCACATAAAATATGCAGGTTTTTCTGGTTCTCGTAAAAAATGTTATAGGTCTTCAATAAAGAGTTGAGTTGTTCCCTAAAAAAAGTTACATTTGGTTATACTCATGCCCTTGGACAGTAAAAGGCAATAATATTCATTCAGCTCGCATAGGTATGAGATAGGTATGGCTCAATGGAATCCTTACTGTTCTGTGGTTTTACCTTAATGCAGGTCATTGAAAATGGAAGTCTTCTTGGGACATCGACAAATGCTGGAGGGGCTAATTCACAAATAAATCACCAAAGGAGGGAAAATGAGGGGAAAGTGGTGAGAAGACTGTTGGTTGACAGGAGACAGCCATAAAATAGAGATTTGGCTTCACATTTCTTTTTGGTTTTGCAACATTTAAGCAGCCTACATTAAGCACCTAGTATGTGCCTGACATTGTGTTTCCCACCAGCGGTATAGTCACCATTCAGGAATGGTCGCTGCTCCCGAGTTACTTTTCCTGTGAGGCAGCTGGGCTCGTGGGAATACTGGTTCCTGACACTCTTCTCTCCTCTCCCCTGCCACCACAGCCTAAGATCCTTACCCTACCTAACCTACTGGTCCAAGCCATCCTCTCATCCCTGGATTACTGCAACAGTCTCCTAAAAGCCTCCCTGATTCTGTAATCTGTTGTAACAGTAGGTATTATTTTGGTGCAAACATAATCATCTCTCCTTGGCTCAAAACTCTCCAGTATCTTTTAAAAAATGTTTTTAAGATTATTTATGTATTTTGAGAGACAGTGAGAGCTGGGGATGGGCAGAGAGACAGAGAGAGAGAGAGAGAGAGAGAGAGAATCCCAAGCAGGCTCCTCACTGTCAGCACAGAGCCTGATGTGGGACTTGAACTCACAAACTGTGAGATCACGACCTGAGTTGAAATCAAGAGCTGGACGTTCAACAGACTGAGTCACCCAGGTGACCCTCTCCAATTATCTTTTCATTATTCAGAATAAAAGCCAATAGCCTTCTGGTGACTTAAAAGGCCAGATGTGATTTGGTCTTCTGTTTCCCTTTGATCCATTTCCAACTATTCTTTCCTTCACTCACTACACTCTCTAGCCGCTGGACTCTAATATTCCTTGAATATGTCAGACACATTCTCACCTCAGGACCTTTGCACTTGCTCATCCCCATCTAGAATGAGCTCCCCTCCCCTACCCCTACTGTCACACTGTTAGCACATTTTCTTTAACGTTTTACTCAGAAGTCCTTTTTACAAGGAGTCCTTCCTGACCACTTGATCTAAAGGTTTGCCTTCTCTTAACATTCCTATCCTGCTTTCTTATCTCTGCTCCTTAGTCACCATCTAACCTTACACGTATTTTACTTATTTGTCTTATATTCAGTCTCTCTCACCGGACCGCAGCTCCACGAGAATAGGTGTGTTTGTATATTTTGCTTGCGCTACGTTCCATGTGCCTGGAAGAGTGTTTGGCACATAGTAAGAACTCTATGAACACTGGTTGAATGAAATGATCAGAGAAATTCTTATTCCTAAAAATGGAAACATGCCAAATAAAGGGGGAAAAAACATCTTTACATAAACAGTTTTATGGGGGATGGGGTGGGAAATCTCATATTAAATTTCCAAATATATCATTTGTTAAAATTCCTTCGATCTTCAATATCTGTTTCCCTCCCATAAGAATATTGGCTCCATGAGGGCAGCAATTTTGGTCTATTTCATTCATTACTGTCTTCCTAGTGCTAGAACAGAGACTTGATCAGAGTAGGCTCTTATTCAATAAAGATTTATTAAATGCTGAATGACAGAATTCATGTATATTGATTTTTATGCTTGATATCATGTAGACATACTCTTTCCATCTGACTTTGTAATTTTATTTTATTAAAAAAATTTTTTTTAATGTTTATTTATTTTGAGAGAGACAGAGTGTGAGCAGGGGAGGGGCAGACAGAGAGGGAGACACAGAATCTGAAGCAGGCTCCAGGCTCTGACAGCCCCCAACGGGGGGCTCGAACTCACGAACAGGGAGATCATGACCTGAGCCAAAGTTGGACACTCAACCAACTGAGCCACCTAGGCACCCCTCACTTTGTAACTTTAATACACAGATTTTCAAGGTTCAATACACTTCAGTTGCCACATAAAAAAAAAAAAAAAAGTTCTACAGAATTCCTCCATGCTATGGTTCCATTTCCAACTGAGTTACTTTAGAATTTCAATGTTAATGAATATTTCTGTTCTAAATATCATTGCACACACAAGGGATTCGTTCCCTTGGAGTCATTACTGTGGGATATCTCCTAAAAATTATTGTACTGGTGAGGAGCATGAACACTTTTTATAGCTCTCATTATTGAGTGCTAGGGCAGCCTATAGAAGTTTCTGGTTCACTTGAGATGCAATTCCTGATATGCGGAGCTGTGAGGGTTGTTATTAAGGCAAATGAATTTTTATATAATCTTATTCCCTCAGCTTCTGTTTCTGATAAAATTGCATAATAGGATATGGTACAAATATCCTTCAAAGTATTTACCTAAGAATCATGTATAATTAGAAAGATATTCTCAGGGAACAAGCCACTTGGAAAATGTTTCTGTACCTGAACAGAACCTGACTAAATCTTCCTCTACAGAAATAAGTCTCCAGATGACCCAGGGAGTCAGCAAACTGCGGTCCTAGCTTGTCTGTTTTTATAAATAAAGTTTTATTATAATGTAGTCACGCTGATTTGCTTGCTTCTTGTCTGTGGCTGCATTCCTGCTATAAATGCAGAGTTGAATAGTTGTGACAGAAACCATATGACCCACAAAGCCTAAAATATTTATTATCTGGCCCTTTACAGAGAGGGTCAGCCAACCTCCACCCCTCCCCAAGTATAACATAGGCTGTTGCTGAACACCACAGAAGTCATCCATATTTTTCTTACCATAAGCAGGATCATTCTGACCGAATATTAATGAGACTTTGAAGGATTCTGGGATAAAGTGAAGAATTAGACCAAAAAAAAAAAAAAAAAAAAAAAAAAAAAAAAAAAAAAAAAAAAAAAAAAAAAAAAAAAAAAAAAACAAACACAAAACCTCACAAGTTATGTAAACAACTATAGCAAAAGTGAATACATTGCAAATATTAAAGCACCATTACATTTGATTTGTATATCCCTTCCCAGAGGAACTTTTGAAGATGATTCTTTTGCTCATCTGATGGAACAGTGGGTCTAATAGAACGCTGGCAGTAATGAAACCCAGCCTGCAACATTGTGATCTTACGCGTTGGCACCGAAGGCACAAGGGCTTAAGAAGTTATTGTCAAGTCGATCACCTGTATCTGCGGACTGATTCAAACTGTGTCTTCCAACAGTGAACGGTCATTCTCTCATACAGTCATATAGTCACCATGTGAGCTCCATCGAGGGGTTTCATTCGTATTCTGAGGATGGGTGAGAGCTTCAAGGATAGATGCTTCCTACAGTGAACTTCGGAAGGGAGGGATGAAACATGAAGCGTGTGAGGAGCTTACCAGGCAAAAATACCTTTCACAAGGACATGTAGCTATTTCCACAGTTTTTGTGGAGGAAGCTCAGAGTGCCGGGATTCTAAGGGTAGAACATGTAAATGGGGAGTGGTGAGCATTGAATAGCTGAAGAAGCAGGCAGGAACCTTGTGAGCCATTTTAAGAAGCTTAACATTCACCCTGCCAGCAGGGGGCAGCTACGGAAGGTTCTAGGCAAAAGAAAGACATGATGATAAGGGCCACTAGGGAACTTACAGAAGACAGATTTCAGGACAAGATGGAAACAGAAAGATGTTTGGGACTATTGGCAAACAGTACTGGGATAGAGGTGCAAGATCAAGGCTGTGTTCTATGGATATGGGGTCAAGTGTCCCGCATGTACAGAAGGGTCTGAAGTCTAGATGGGACCTATACATGATTTAGGACATCTAATCACTAAAGCGCTATCTAGGCAGTCCCTAGTCAGGAAAGGGGACAGGGATTTAATACACTCTGTGCCTTGTCAATGGTAATTATAATAGATTTTTCTGGGTCCATTTACATGTCACATATGGACCTTCCTTCCCCCATCAAAAAAGGAAACAGGCATCTGTGTACCTTTTCCTCTCAGCCGCCAAAAAAGCTCCCCACCCAGCCTAGATCAGACCACTTAGCAACTATTCAGCTGCCCTAACAAAGCTATAAAATGGGTGGCAAGAAATAGATTCCACATGCAATCTTCTCAGTTTACAATTCTGTGATATTTAGAAGTCACAGAGATACCCAAGAAACAAACATCAAATAGCCTATACAGTTTATGTTTGATACCTAAAACAATGACTTTCCGAGAGCTTGGTTTTTTGGAACATGAAATACCGCATTATAATATATAACAAGGGGTGTGTGTGTTGTTTTTTTTTAATTTTTTTAACGTTTATTTATTTTTTGAGACAGAGAGAGACAGAGCATGAATGGGGGAGGGTCAGAGAGAGGGAGATGTAGAATCTGAAACAGGCTCCAGGCTCTGAGCTGTCAGCACAGAGCCCGACCCGGGGCTCGAACTCATGGACTGCGAGATCATGACCTGAGCCGAAGTCAGCCGCTTAACCGACTGAGCCACCCAGGCGCCCCAAGGTGTGTGTTTTTTTTAAACCACACAGTAAATAATATGGATTAGTGTTTTTACAAAACTGAGGAATGGCAAACTTCCGTATAAACTGGACTTCCAACCTACATGAAGACATAGGATCATAAGCTTCCCAAGACGGAAGCTGGCACCGTGTGCTGGCTGGGCAGAAATCACATCTTGATAGTTGCTGGTGGACACCCAGAATTATTCACTGCAGCTCGTGAAGAGTGCCAGGCAGGAGAGACTTGATACAGGGGTGACAGGTGCAGAGGAACAATGCATAGGAGGGCCCCAGGCTCCTGTTCCTTTAAGGCTCCCAGGTTGGTTTTATGAGCAATAGTGGATCCAGAATTCACTGTAAAATGCTTAGGTGAACTTTGTACTTTGTGGCCCGAACTGCAGCTGCTCAGCAGATGGGAATTACCCACATAGTGACGTCTGCCATGAATAATGGACTTTG